GCTGCTGCTGCTGCTGCTGCTGCTGCTGCTGCTGCTGCTTTTTGCCGCCAGTGTGATCTGGCCCGACAGATGGAGACAGCACATCGATCTCCATACGAATGCATTTGCTGGCATGCGCGCACTCTGTCTCGCGTCCAGGCCTGCTCATGATAACTCTTTCCCTGTCCGATGCGCAAGTACAGCTAGAGGATAACGGGAATGTCGTCAGGCCAGAAACAAAATTTGCTAGAAGACGGTACTTAAAAGTCACTTGCACTTAGAATGTGTTGGTTCTCATTGAAAGACGCCTGATTAGGCAACAACTGAGGGACCGTATTACGCACTCAGCTTTGAAGATAAGGTTGTTTTTTTTCATGAAAATGGGAGGAAAGTTGTCTGCACAACTCCATGCGATGCCTTTGATGCATTATATGGTGGCCAAACTAACGAAGTCGGCTTCTCCCCGGATTCGTGAAAATAACTTTGGTTTAAAGAGGTTAGACAATCTGTTTTAAGTAGCCATGCGTGCTCTGTATACCGGTACATCTTTGTTTGAAACAAAACCCGCACTGTTGACGTTTCGCCATTCTGGATGAACCGAGGGCTCTTCGAGACTATATACTCCACTGAGTCATGCATTAATCGGCATATTGAGTTGGATCTCACGTATAAAAATAACGCTACCCAAGCCGAACAAGAAGAACGTTCACAAAGGCCCTTTACTGGTGCAAACTCCAGACAATTAATGCCTTTTGGGCAACCTTAATATGTTATCTGTTTTAAACGCTTACTCTACGTCTGATGACGACATGAAGGACCGGTATCCCAAATTTACGGAATAAAGCTTGTTATCTTTTGCAAAAATGTATTTGACTTCGAACATGGTTAATGCTAAGAAGAAGTGGACGGAAGTATTGGAACAATAACATTATTCGTTTGACGATTCGGACTCCTGCTTGAACCCATAATCAGAAACGACATCAGATACGCCATACGGTCCTCACATACAAGTAACTAAACTCCTCACGAAGGCTACCGACAGAGACAAGAGGGACTGAAATAGCCATTTTTGGTTTATTTACCGTCGTCAGCCAGCCTTTGCCAGAACCTTCTTTGGAATCCTGAGTTTTGGGTCCGGCTTCATGGGAAATTGAATGTGAAGTAACCCAGCGCTCTGCCATTGAATCGCGGGAGTGTTTTCCCGTCGAAACTACTAACAATAACGGCTATTAATCTCGGTGGATCAAGGACTGTCAATGGCGGCTGCCGAAAGTTGCACGTTAGCGTGGCACTCATTCGATCAGGTATGCGTTGCGCATAGGGGTTCAGTCTAGAGAGTGCTAGCTCTTTAGTAGGACAGCAAAAACACAATTTTACGGATTCAGTGAGACGTTGCTTTTCTTATAAAAAGTATGCTAACCGTGTTGTTTTCCGTTCTTTTTGAAGCACTCGAGCGCCCAGCTATTAGGCAAATATGCCTAGGAAAAGGTCATAAGGCGCATTGCCTCGATATAAAGGAAGTTTTTTGAGGGCAAATTGCCTTTAACTTCGGGTTCTTACGTGTCGATATCCGGTGAATCAGCAAAATTTCATTTTCGAATTTCAGAAGGAATTCTTCTGTCTGCACACGTTACCACTCGTTGCATTCTGTATTGGATTTGGTG